ATTGTACAGGAAGGCGAGATTAAAACAATACTCGAAGAAGACTTCAAACACGGTCGAGAGGGATACTACCCAGCATCATTACAAGTGAATGAGGAGATTTTTAGTTGATAGATAAAAAGACGAATTACTCAGATTTACCGCGTCAATAATCAAACGACAGCATTGATTGTCTGGGAGAAAGGATTTGGAGTGAGGTGAGAAATAGTCTACGCAAATACTTTCTTTTATGGTAATTCATTTCTTAAGATATCGCATTCAAAGCGGCTCAAATTTGACCGAAATGAGCTTGGAGATGCGAGGTACAAGAATGCAGCCCTATCAAATTACTACGCTTCCTGGGTAACATTTCTTGAAAGTCATTTCATAAGCAAATGACTCACTTTAGAAAATCAGTAAGATATCCTCCAAAACACTATGTGATTTGGCACTCGAGGGAATTTACATGGAACGGTAAAGACATACCCCGTAGTGCGCTGTTGGAGGCGACTCCTTATAATACGACGGAGCTTGATCTTGAAGTTGAAAAGGAGGTAAGCTGTGAATATAAACTTCGAGAAACTTTTTAAAGTGTTCCACGTTTCAGATGCGCTTATTCAATATTCCTTCCATTTCGCTGTGCATTTACAGGAAGGGAAAACGTACTTTGTCGGTTTCTTATGGATATTCTGATTTGAGATCTGAAACAAGGGTAATGCATTAGTAGAGTGGAAGTCTTGCAACAATTGTGCCTTCTTAAAGTATACCCCAAACCGTCAAATAAACCTCTCACAAGGTCTATAGTCGAACCGCACAAAAACAAATTCTTCTGAATCAGGACGATGTCCCTTTTGCGACGTATACAAAGTCGTGCATGAGGACAAGTTCTGCATCGCTATATGTTTGAAGCGCACTTCCTGCTTCATGGCAAAGTTATAGGATTGGACCTATCAAAGCAAGGTGATGCTTTGCGCTATCTACTGTACTAATACTTCTAAAGAGTTTTTGATGTGTGGCGTCCATGCATTAGAGCATTCCATGCATTCTCACAGCAACAGCGGTGTCTCCCATGATGCGGCTGGTTTGGCGGCGTTCTGCAGTGAGATCTCCTGGCGCTTGTGCATATGGTTTAAATACAAAACCCAGCTTCCTCTCCATTGAGAAGTCTTTCAAGAAATTCTTTGTAAACAAAACCCCGCCGTGCAGATCGGCCAATTAGACATTTTTGGATTTTATAGATAACAACTACTTATTGCACTACCATTATATACCCTGTGGGTGGAAGCTTCAAAAACCACTTAACATATGCTATGAATGATGAGTTTCACTTAAAAACTTTATGAAAGAAGGAATTGTGCAAAACTTTCATTCCAATCTCATAGAAAAGCCGACAAATTGCCATATCATCCGTTTGCAAATCAGGCAAAACCCATAAATAGCTATCGCATCGCATCGATCAGCAAAACGATAACAGCTATGGGGATAGCGGAGCTGATCAATAGACATCTTCTTAATCTCGACGACAGAGTATTCGGATCAAAAGGTGATTTAGCACAATTTAAGTAATAAGAAGTGTGTTCTCTACGTTTTCTATGATAGCAACTTCAATGTCGTATTTCTTCTTGTGAAAGAATAGCTCTTAGCAATCCTTGACAAACTCATATTCAATTGCAATGGTCTAGTAAGTTTTTAAGGTGTGCTTTCTTCATTTGATGTCAGCAAAGCGCATCCTTGGCTACGTTACGTAACCGTGCGTCACCTGCTTGAGCACTCATCCGGAGGATGGGAAAATAATGAAAAGATTGAATTCAATCGTACACCTCAAACGTAAGTCTTTTGATTAGTACTTAGCTTTGATAAATTTCTTCAAATGCTATTTCTGGTAAGGAAAAAAGAGGAAAGAGAAAGAGCAAAACAATATGAATTGGCATTCCGACTGAATAGGGGCAAATTCTAAATTTTGGAGCACTGATACGATCCAGCATATATCCTTTCATTCTACATGAAAAGTCAACAGACGGAGAATAACGCTTCCATGATACCAAAAACTTGCCGATGTGGAAGTTAGTGTGGATACGGAAAACTACTCTAGACGTTCTTAAATTACAGAATTTTCGGATGCGAGTTCTTACGCTAATTTGTCTTTAGAATTCCTAGTGACAAATTTCTAAAAGTCAAAAAATCATTGAAAATACACCTGAAGGAGAATCTTTTTCTTAGTTAGGTCATTCGTTATTCGCTGTTTATCAGCAATTACGTGTGAAAACCTTCACGTCTTATCTCTACAACAGTCTATCTAATAATCTAAAAAGGTCTAATCTTTCAAAAAGGCAGATGCATCACTCACGCGATTTTATATCATAGTAAAAATTAAATACTTATCTCATCGCGGTTTACAGCTAAAAGCATATAGAAGTTTCTAGTAGCATAAGTTTTCAGCCTCTCTTCAGAA